CCCCCCCCCCGACAATCCTTGACAGCCTCCCCCTCGCCCACCCCGAACCTCCAAACCGTTCCCTCTCCGACAATCCCTGACAGCTCAATGCCCCCCCCCCCGCCACAGGGAGGGAGGAGGAGAAGAAGGAGGGGGCCACGAGGAGGAGGAGGAGGAGGAGGAGGAGGAGGAGCCAGCCGACCTTAGGATGACTTACGTCACTGGTGAAGAGGAGGAAGATGATCGAGGTCATCTGAGTTTGCCGTGCGCTACCACCCAGCATGGAGGTCTACGCAGTTCCCCTGGGGTCGAAGTTCTGTTCCAAGTCGTCCAAGGCCCCAGCGCGCAGAGATATGACAATCAAACTTGCAAAACATATTGTGTTAAATCCCAAGGGGTCTGCGAACGAGTTCGGACGCATTTCGAGCAGTCCTCCAACGCGGCCTCGATAGCATCCCCGTCGACGCGATCCGAAGGTTCCGCCGGGGCAGCTGACGTCGAAGCAGCCGACCCCGAACCCCCAGAAGCCACATCTAGCAGGCCACCCTTCGCCTTGTACCGTGCCCAGAACTCGGCCAGCGCTGCCTTCGCCTCTGGGGTCATGGCCTTGCTGGGCCCATTCGCCTGAAGGTGATGTTGCTCCCCATCCTCCCTCCTTCTCCCCCTCACCTTTCCAAAATGTTGCTCGTGGTTAAAATCGTTTAGATATTTCAAGTGCAGCCGAATCTAGGCCAGAAGAACATCCCTCAAGAACACGAGATTCTCCGCCGGCCAACACGCACACAACACCCAAGGGTACCCTCCCCAGGATGCGCAAGAACATCCAACAAACACGAAGAACATGAGGGTCCCCTCCACGAACCGACCTCGATCTTATACCTCGGTCCGACTGCACAGTCCAGAAGACGACCCAGGATGAGGGGGAGGTTCGATGTCTTCGATTCAAGAGGCACCCAGTTGGCCTCGGCCTTGCTGCGGGCCTTGCTCTTGCTGGCTCTGGCAGCAGCGGCTGGGCGTCGTTTGAGGATCTGGGCAGAGACGCCGTTGTCGTCGTCCGTGGGTTCCTTGATCTCAAGTGGCCCCTCCGATGGATCCGCCCTCGGCGCCGCCGCCTTTGCCTTGGCCCTGGCCCTCTTCTTGGGTTGAGGCTCGACTGCACCGTGTGCATCGGCCTCTTTGACGTCGTCAGGGTCAGATGCCAGCGTTGCAGCAGCGGGGCGTTTTGAGACAATCTGGCGGCGCGGCCTTTTAGTCAGAGACAACGCATCGCTGGCAGAGCCCATTGCGTTGATTCGATTCGTCTAATGATGTCTCGCTGTGGTGTCGGTGAAAGTGATCACACAGGGAAACGACAAGGTCGAGCTCAAATGGCACCGGCAAATCGCGAATGTCATATCTAATGTTGGACCGTTTTGCGGCCCGGACCGATAGAAGAGGGGAGCGCATATATAATCCCAAGACAGACAGTCAAAAGATGGCCGCAGGATCGCCTTGAGAGGACCCGAACCAGTGCCGAGGTGACCAAACAACTCGACGACCAAGAATTGTCTTGGCCACTGAAGCATCTCGTTTTTTGTTAGTAGGCCTCCTCTGAGCCACAGCAGCCTTGGACGGATCACGCTGCTCAAAGTAACATGGTCATATTGTCATCCGCCTCACCCTCCACATCTTACTGAGCTCCTCATCTCCCTCATCCTCCCTGTCCCCTCATCGATCCACCCTCCTCCTTATCCTACTCCTCCTCCTCC